ACCGTGTAACTTCCATTTCGCAGCCTTTCAAGGTTACTTGTGCACCTGCTGAACCATTCACGCTATTATTATACGTTCTATCTGCAGAGAGCAGATGGAAATAAGTTTCTTCCCCGCTTTTAGTTCTGTACCATTTAGGTCCTTGCATCACCACCCAGGTATGTATAGCCACGGTGCCACCCGGGCATAAACTGGATCGGATGAAGGGACAGAAAATAGCGCATCTCTATGAAACCCTGTCCCAGGAATGGAAATACCCACAGGGGGATCTGTTCTGATTTCCCCTCTGATGATCAGCAGCGCAGCAGTTAATTATTCAGCTTCTGATTTTTTTTTTCTTAGGCCTACAAGCTCTTCTCTTTATCTGCCATGTGTCCCTGAACCACTAGAAAACAGAAAACACTGACACTGACAAGTCTCCTTAGAGCTGGGAGCTGAAAGTCACTGCAGGAAAGGGAGAGGAGTTCACACCTCCCTGGGGGTCATTGACAAGTTCGTCCTCACTTTGAGAACCAGAACTTGGGGCTCTCTGCAGACTTAAGTAAGAAGTAGTAGAAACTTTTAATTTTATGTAAAACCTTTGATTGTGCAGAAACTGATCTGGATCCTTGGGAAATTGTTGTGTGAGCCACAGCACTGAGCAGTGCTTCATTCAGCTGCTGTCTCGTGGGACAGGTAGACAGCCCTTTCTTGCGAGGGCTCCTCCACCCCACTTCATGCAGTTCTGCTTCCCCAGCAGATCTTTTACCTGGCATTTGTTCCTTTCCTCTGAATCCATCCCAGGCTCTCTCGCTTCTCATCTCTGTGGCACGAACACTTTTTCTTCTGAGGTTAGTTCTAAGTACTTCAGAGATGAGCCATTTTATCTCTGCACGCTAATGTGCAAATGCACTGATCACTGCTGCTCCAGATGGCAAACATTTCCAGCCCCATGTGCCAGCCCCAAAACTTCACCTAATTCCAACACAGGAGCTGTCAGTGGCTCCCACGTCCTGTAGTTACCATTGCCCACCTGGATAGCCTTGAAAAAGTAACAACAAAAGAAGGCTTTTCAGTGTTTTTCTAAATGTGGTCAGGCTGTCTAACTTCTTTGGGACTGGTAGTCAGTAGTCAAATTCTGCAGTGCCTCCTCATTCAATTTGCTGGAGTAGCACATACTTGTGGAGTATGGAGTGAGTAAGAATGAAGTAAGGATATTTGCAATTTGACCTAGTATCTGTGCATTTCATTAATCCTTCCTCCATCAACCACTTAACCTTTATGGGCATTCTTATTGCCTCTCATTGTATTGATTTCAGTCCATTTCTCCAATTTAGTGAGATCATGCAGTATTTTAAACCTGTCTTCCACTGCATAACTAGGTTTAGCTGGGGGGTAATTGACATCAATTTAAAGAATGAAAAATTAGGCTGAATATCCGGGGAAAACTTCCTAATGGTGAGATCTGCCAGAATGCATTGCTGCCTCTCCATGGGATCGGTGGCAGTTCCATTAGCATGTGCATTAAAACCATCCTGAAGAACCATAAGATTACAGGTTGTCCAGAACAACGCTGAAGTAGGAGGGGAAGGACAAGCCGCAAAGCCCTGCAGCTCGCCTCCTATGGTCACCTTACGCCGGGTTTGCTCCACTCCCTCTTCACACCGCCCACCAGCGCACTGCAGAAGGAGCGGTATCAGCTGATTACAGGGACGGGATCCGATGTGATGCTCCCTCTGACGTTAGTGCAGCTTCACTTGCCACGTGTGGCCACGGTTTGTAATGCTCCCTGAGGCCAGGGCCACACTGTGACACCCAGGAGGGCTTCCTATGACCTGGGTCCAGACGTGTTCCATGGCATCCACCTCATCATGCCGTCTGCTGTGTTGCTGTGAGAAGAAGGAGAAGATGCTGGGCTGGAAGGAAGCCAGAGCACCTGCGTGCAGGAGGACACCTCTCTCCCACAGTCTGGATGCAGCCAGGACCTTCAGAGACACCGGATCACCTGCAGGAGCACAGCACGCCGAGACCACCAAGTCCCCGTTTATACAGCAACGTCACTCTGGTGCAGGAGGTTTTAAATGCATCCATCAATTCTGCTACCATCCTTCACTTCTTAAAGAAATAAATATCTTATTTATTTAATTATTTATTTATTTACTTATTTATTTATTTCTAGCAGAATGGTTGAAAACTGATTGCAGAAGGCTTGCTCACGCTGAGGCCAGATCAGAGATATAGAACAAAGACTGTTTTAAAATGATGACTCTGATGACTCTTATGTTTGCAAAGATAATAGTCCAAGCAGACAGAAGCATGTTCTTCACACACCTCTGGTGAGATAGGTTAATTGCAGGACTGGACAGAAAAATAGGGCTCTCATCCCCACCTTTTATGGAGAGGTTCTGTCATATTTAAGTAAAAAATAAATAAGTAAAATAAAATGAGCCTGTTTTTATCTGAAGTTGTTACTGACAGCAACCACTTTTTTATTAGAAGAGGACTTCTGTCAGCTCCTGAAAAATGGAAACATCATTTTCAGCAACAAAACCCAACATATTTATCTCAAAAGCCAAGTAGGCTGGTACATATTTTGATTGTTTGGTGGGGGAGGCAGGCTTTTTTTCTTTTCATGTTCTCGAAATTCATCTGCCACAAAAAAGCAGATTTGTCAAAAAATGAAATTTCCCACTACAAAAATTTCAAAAGAAACATTTCCATCAGCTCTGCTCAATTAGCAGCTGCATAAAAATGGCTCGTTTTCGCAGCTGCTCCCCTGAATCTTTCTGAGAGCGGAGAGAAAAAGCAGAAGACTTGACCACTTCCAATTTTCCCTTAAGGAAGAACTCAGCAGATACCGGTGGAGAGACTGGGAGTGCATGTGGGACAAAAGGCCGAGTGCAGACTTTGCACTGGTCAAGCAGAAGAGAAATAATTTTCTCCATGGCAGGAGGTGCAGGCTACAAATTTGCCCAATAACGAGTAGCCAGAGGCTGATACAAAAGACTAATTCTCTTACTAAAATCCTCGGAGAGCATCCCAATATGACTACAAGGCTGGCAAGCTGCTGGAGAAGATGGGAAGTAAATGCAGCCATCTCATGAGGACACTGCCTCTGGACTTCTTGATTGTGCTTTTCCTATACTGCACTTCTCATAATGCCCTCCGGCTGGTACCATTGAAATGAAACCTATTGATTGAAATTCTGATCCTATTGATTTTACACAAGAGATTTGCGCGAATATGAAAGAGCAGGAACTGCTCTGTAACCACTCCCATCTCCGCTTATTCCCCGCTGAACGCATGCGGTAGGCTTGCTTGTCCATGCAGGCATCGCCTCCGTCCCCTGAGCTTCCAGAAATAAATTACCCCAAATTCAGATATTCAGTACCTATTAGCTCACAAATGTGTGGTAAATATTACCTGGTCCCTGAATACACTAACGTTATTTATGAGTTCCCTTTTGCTTTCTTTTGTCTGCTCCTGCTTCACGTCTCTTCTTTACCTCATTAACCACACACCGTGTTTTCCCCCTTCATTGCAGGGGTGTGGAGGCAAAATGGAAACCACATTTTACAGGAGGGGAGGCGGGATGGGAAGCAGCGCTGGAAGGAGGTGATGTTTGCCTGGAAGGAAAGCACTAGGGAAGTTGTGCTCAAAACAGAGTGCTGTCAGAAATCACATTTCCACCCCTAGAGGAAGGGTGTGTGGATATGGGAGGTGAGGAACTCGGGAGAGCAGCTCCCAGAAGAGCCCAGAGGAGGAAAGGCCAACGTACCATGAGCCCAGGGTGTCCTGCTCCCAACACAAGCGATGGCAGCCCCCTGAGCCCAACGGGGCTGCCCTGGCCCTGTCTGGAGCCAGTGTTTGCTTATGGGTCCCTCACACCACGCAGTGATGCTCACAGCACACCTCGTGCCTCCTTTTCCCGATCTGTAGGGAGGTGGAGCAGGGTTTAGAGGAAAAACCAGCTGCCCTGTTCACTCACACCTTCCCTTCCTTCTCGGTTATTGAAGGCATGGGGCGTCCTTTCCACACGTCAGCCAGTACACCTTGATTTTGCTCATTTTTCCTTAATGCATTTTAGTTTGCTGCGCTCAACGCTTCCTCCTTTTCCCTCTAAATCTTTTTATAGTCGGGCTGCCACATATCAATCAATGGTATGGATTAAAGTTGCATATATCGTGACTTGTTTGGTCCAGCAGGAACGCATTTAAAACAAAGCCCTATCAGCTTTATTTTCCCCATTGACATTTTTTCTTTCCTTCTTTATTCCCCGCCAGGAAAATCGCAGGATTTTAACCCGCTGGAGTTCCTAGATTATAGCACGGAGTGGCAGTGACATGGAGGCAGGTTATGTGGCGGCAGGAAACCCCTGATCACCCTGCAAGCCACGCCAAACGAACCCAAAAGGCTGAGGGAAAACATAACCCTAAGGGTTTGTTCAGCAGGCTGAGGGAGAACACAGCCCAAAATGGTCCGGGCTGAGGGAAAACATAACCCTCGGGGCCCGTTCGGCAGGCTGAGGCACAGCACAGCCCAAAATGGTGGCTGCACTTCGACGTCTCACACGCAGCGTGACAAGGATTCGCGTGACAAGCGGTGACAGAAACAAGCCGGCGGCCACACGGCCAGCTCCCAGCCGCGGTTACAGCGGGAAGAAAGGAGCCAGGAACCGGGGACAGCGGGCGGGAGGGCCGGGGAAAGGGGTAAGGAGCCGCGCTCGGAGGGTGTGTGGGGGGGCTCCATGGCCGCGGCGCCTCCCTGAGGAGCCCCCCGAGCTGCGGGCTCCCCTCAGGCGGGCGGCGCTGAGGCGGGGCCGCCGCGAGCATGCGCGGGCCGCGCGCGTCACGGGAGCGGGCGCGGCCGGCGGGAGCGCGGAGCCCCGGCGCGCCCCCTCCCCTCCCGTCCCCTCCCCTCCCCTCCCCGCCTCCCGTCACAGCCCCGCCGCCCGCTCGGAGCGGAGAGCGCCACAGCCGGGAGCGGCGAGGAGTCCTTCCTCCTCCTCCTCCTCCTCCTCCTCCTCCTCCTCCTCCTCCTCCTCCTCCTCCTCCTCCTCCGCCCCCGCCTCCGCCTCCCGGCCGGGAAGAGCTCGCCGTGCCCGCAGCCCCGCTGGATGCGCTGAGCCGCGGGGAGAGGGGCAGGAGGCAGCCGCCAGCCCCGCTGCGGTGCCCGGAGCCCGATCGCCGCCTCCCTTCCATCCCTCCCCGCCGCACGACCGCGGTGTGTGCGCGCCCCCGGCCTCCTCTCTGCAGCCCAGGCGGCGGCGGCGGCGGCGGGGGCTGCTTTTTTTTTTTTTTTTTTTTTTTTTATCCTTCCCCCCCCTACCTTTTTTTTTTTTTTTTTTTTTTTTTTTAATCTTTACGGGGCCGCCATGGGATGTACCCTGAGCGCCGAGGAGCGGGCCGCCCTGGAGCGGAGCAAGGCCATCGAGAAGAACCTCAAGGAGGACGGGATCAGCGCCGCCAAAGACGTGAAACTCCTCCTGCTCGGTGAGCCCCGCTCCCCGAAACTCGGCCGCCTGCCTCCCCCCCACCCCCCCCCTCCCTTATTCGCTCACCGCCTTTTCTCTGTCCCGACAGGGGCCGGGGAGTCGGGGAAGAGCACGATCGTGAAGCAGATGAAGTAAGTGCGGGGCCGGGCGGGGCGCGGCGGGGCGGGGGCTCGCTGAGGTGAGCGAGGGCCGCGGGCGCCATGTTTACCTGAGGGGACCGCCGCGGCGGGAAGGCGGCGCCCGGCCCCTGCCGCTGCTGTTCGGGGCCGCCGTGGTGCTGAAAGGGCCGCCGGGGCCCGAAAAAGGGGAGGCGAAGTGCCGGAGCCGGGCTTGGGGGGCTCCGAGGGGATGCTGAAAGGGTTCTAAGGGGCCCTAAAGGGGCGCTGAGGGGATGGGAAGGGCCCTGAGGGGGCGCTGAGGGGCCGGGAGGGAGCCCCTGAGGGGGCTCTGAAGGGCTCTGAGGGGCCGGGAGGGGCTCTGAGAGGTTCTGAGGGGCCCCGAGGGGGTTTTCAGGGGCTCTGTGGGGCCCTGAGGGGGTTTTCAGGGGCCCTGAGGGTTTTTTCAGGGGCCCTGAGGGGGTTCTGAAGGGGCTCTGAGGGGGCCTTGAGGGGCTCTAAAGGCCCCTGATGGGTCTGTGAGGGGGCTCTGAGGGGCCCAGAGGAGGCTCTGAAGGTCCGTGAGGGGGCTCTGAGGGGCCCTAAGGGGGCCCAGAGGGTCCGTGAGGGGCTCTGAGGGGCTTTGAGGGGGCCCTGAGGGTCCGTGAGGGGGCTCTGAGGGGCCCTGAGGGGCTTTGAGGGGGCCCTGAGGGGGCTCCTTGCAGCGGGGGGGGTCGCAGCCGCCCCGCAGCCCTGTGAGGGGGGCCGCTGTGTGGTCAAATCCTCCCGTAATGCGGATTTAAAGCCAGGCGCCCTGCCACTCCGAGCCCCTTTGAAGGGAGATTTTTTTTTTATTTTTTTTTGTTAGCGTTTTAATTAACGGAGGGGTTGAATTTGGCCGCCGATCGGCAATTAGATTGAAAGCGGGGTATTAAAAAAAAAAAAAAAAAAAAAAAAAAGGAGGGGGAGCAAATAAACAAAAAAAAAAAAAAGGCGACAATATGGAGAAGAACCAGCTCCTTCCTACGCCCCGGGCTGCCCCTCGCTGAGGCCCGGGCCCCGTTAGCCGGCCTCTCCCCGTGCTTAATTACAATTAAGCACCGGGCCATAAACGAGGGCTTGGAGCCCCGTTCCCTGCGGGAACGCCTCCCGTGGGGCAGCAGGTGCAGCGGGCAGCCTGGGGAGCCGCTCTTCTTCCCTTCCCTTTTCCCTTTTTTTTTTTTTTTTTTAATCCCAACACGCCGAAAATCCCCCCCAAATCCCCCGGCACACGGCGGGGGCCATCACGGGGGGCTCAGAGGGATGGCTGGCCCCGGGGAACCGGCTCCGGTACCCGAGGAAAGGAGGGGGGGTGACACACGGGGAGGGCTCCGCCGCTGCCATCCGCAGTCCCGGCACGGCTGCGGCTTTCAGGCGGTTCCCGTGGTGGACAGCGCCCAGCGGGGCCTCGAACCGCCGGCAGCGCTGCCCGGCTTCGGCTCCGCTCGGCCCCTCCCGCCGCCGGCTCGGCCGCCTTCGGAGGCGGGCGGGGAGAAGCCGAGCAGGCTCGGAAATAGCCGAAGGGGGTTCGGAGCCTCTCGGCAACACCCCCCCCCTCTTCCCCAAAAACACCTCCCCTAAGGGTGTGTGCTCGTCCTCGCCAAACCCTGGGGGTGACCCCAAAGGGGCGACCCTCGTGTTTCTGCCCCACTCCTGCGGCCGCCGTGTCCAGCCCCAGGGGACCAAACCGCCAGCCCCACCCGAGGCAACCCTCCGGCGCTGCAGGGCTGGCGGAGAGGAGCCTCCCTTCGGCGCACGGTGGGCACAGCGGCCTCACCCACGGCGATTTGTGCGCCCTATTTCTGTCAAGCCCCCTTTGGAAAGGAGGTTTTCCACCCCGACACTTGGCTGTGGGGCCAGGAGGATGGGTTTGGTTTGCGCTCATTTGCGTGTGAGAGATGGATCGGGAGAGATGTTACTGCAGATGAATGGCAATAAATTATTTAATCTCTAGGAATCGCTTCTGCAGAAGCGTGCTGGAATGGCGGGCGGTGGGGTTTGGCTGGGGGGAGAGGCTGTAGCACCATCATCACGGCGCACCAGGGCAGATGTGTGGAGTCGGGAGCGGGCTGTGGCCGCGGTGGCTTACACAATGAGCGCCCAGGGATTCCTGTTTCCCAGAGAGCACAGCTCTTGTTTCTTAAAGCACGTTGGATCAAGCTAACAACCGGTTTGCTGGACTAGCCCGGAATACTAAGGCCTGAAAAACACCCTGTAGTACATCTCCCCAACAAAACACTCTGGGAGTAACGCGCGGTAGCTGGCGGGTTTGTACCCAGCTGGAAAATGCGGCAGCGGCTGCCATGGTGGAAGCTCGCAGCGCGGGGAGCGGGGAGGCGGCCGCCAGCCTGCGAACTCCAGCGAACTGTGCAGAGGCTGGGGTGGGGACAGCGGTGTTGCTAGGAGCACGGCGGCAGGAGCTGGAGGGAGCCGCGCAGCCGCGGGCGCCGGGGGGGAGAGCGATGTGCAGGGAGCGACTGGGGGAAATTAACATTTCTGAAAATTAATTTAAATATAATGCAGGCATTAGCATTTCACCTGGTCAAGCTCCATTAGACAGGCTTGCTGAGAACCTAATGAATTCTTAATAAAGATTAAATTGCACGTTCATTAGATTTTGATGAAAGAGACTGCTATTTTATTTTTTTAATACTGTGTTATTGGTGTGCTTCTAGATCATAAATCTCCTCCTTGTGAATGGCTAAAGCAGTTTCACACTTGGATATCGCCTTGCAGAGAAGCGCAGGAATGTATAGACAGATGAGAATATGCTTAGACAAAGGAACAGGGAGCAGACATTGTTAGCGGAGGACTGAGAAGAGGCTACGCACTGTCCAGTTAATCCGTGAAATTTTAGGTAGTGGGAGAAGGGACAGGTAGAAACCAGCTGTAATTTGGGAGTTTAGCCAGGGTGGGCAGTAGGATTTATCAAATGAATGCAGGATGTTTTCCTCAAGTGTTTGGGGCTGCCTTTCAGCTGGTGAGCGGGGAGTTCCCCAGTGCAGGAAGAGGAGTGGGTGCACGATGGGCAGCTGGGACTGGAGGCTAGCGTGTGCCTCGGGCAGCACGGGCTGGGAATGGCACTGTCCTGAGCAGCCGTGGTGCTGTAGGCACCCTCAGACCTTGTGCTTTGGCTGCACCCATCTTGGCTGATGACGTTTGCTCGTTATTGCTTCACGACTTTGCCCGTGCTGTAAAATGTGGGGTTGGGGCCATGCTGCTGGGGGGAGCAGTCCTGAGAGGTGTGAGGCCAGTGCGGCCCCAGGGTGTGCTTTCGTGCTCAGAATCAGTGATCGGGCTCAGGTTTTCCCTCAGCTTAAACTAAAAACCAGCTTTAACCAAGCGAATCTGGGGCTCCTTTGAATATCCAAGCCAGGGGGCGAGAGATATTGTACAGGAGAAATTTGTCTTCCAGCACCCAGCCTCAGCGGGTTCACACTGACGTAGAACTGCAATGACTGTCAACATCTCTTTAGCTCTTATATCTTGAAATAAACACTGAGTGCATGCAGAATTTAGAATACGTGATATTTTCTGGAATGGTTGGATCATAGCACCAAGGCAAGACCTGTTGTTTGCCCGGGGGGATTTTGCAGGGGTCTTACAACTCTGCTGAATGTTTGTTCATCAAACTGGCCCCGGGCTAGGCGGACGCCCAGCACACCTCGCTCTGTCCCTGCCCAGCAGAATACTGAGGTGCATACAGCAGTCCTGTGGTGGGAACGGGTGTGTTACTGCAAGGGGAACACCCTCTGCTGCCATCAGCATGAAGCTGCTGGGGAATTCAGTGTTTAAATGCAAATGTAGAGGCTGAGTTAGCTGGCATGGCTTCAAACCCAGCATCCTGCCACCTTTCCGGGTGGGGAGCCGGGGCACTATTCCACCTCCCAAATGAGGGGATGGATGGTGATGGCTACGGCGTTTGGGAGGATGCAGGGCTGGCAGGACCTCACTCATCAGGCTTCTTGCAGTTCCGTTTTTTCGTAAATTGTTTTTAAGTTATGACAAGGATGGGAATGTGTGATCGGGAGGAGAATAGGTGGCCGTACAGCGCTTATCTTTCCCTACCTGCTGCCTTCTCCCCAACGGCCGTCAGTCCCAACAGCTGCCTGATCTATCGGTTTGACCTTTTTCAGAGAGCCCCTCAAAACAGCCCCGGGCTCTGCTTGCTCTCCGGGTAACTGAATTACTTCTAATCTGATGAACTTCTTTAGAGTGAGAAGCAGTCCCCACCCACTGCTTTTACAGCCCGTCTCAGCAACGTGGTGGTAAATGCCACCAAAACGAAATGATGTCTTGTGAACACCCACTCGAGGCCTCGCTCTTCGCGGCGTGTCTGTCTCCAGCCGTAGCGATTTCCCACTCGCGGCCCCTTCCCCGGGAGCACCTCGCCCTGCGGGGGCTTCGCCTCCGTATCGGCATGCGTCTGTCCCACCCCTCGGGGCCAGCAGGATTTGAGCTGGGCACCAGTAAGCAGGGGAAGGAGCTGCAGCCTTCCTGCTGGTCTGCTCACCTCCTGCCACCTGCTCCGCTGCATCCTGACCTGGGTGTTGAGGCTCTTGTTATTAGCCTGGGAGAGATTTCAGAGAAGAGCAGTAACTGTATTAGCAGGCAAGACGGAATACATTTTGGGTTTGGGTTTTTCTTTTTCCTTGACAGTTCTTAATTTGTTTCTTGTTTTAGGAATTCATAACAGTAAAAATATCTTGCAGTGACAACAGTGAACTGCATAGCTTCTCCTCTTTCAACCTAGTTTTAAAACCTTAAAAGAAATTTGCCTGTCATATTCTGACATGACACATCTAGTCCTGTTGGAAATGTTTTAGCAGTCTAACGAGATGAAAGCGGTTCTTCTAATGAGCTCTGAAGAAAGAGACAAATCTGCACAAATGTAGCCGGGGATGTTTTATTTTATGTTTGGCTAACCCAGAAGTTTTAAGAAACGTTCGATTGAGTCATGACACTTGAAAAGAAGTTGTGGTTTTCCTCCTCAGTCT